AAGAGCGTCCACCCAGACGATTAACAGGGCAGTAAGGCGGGTACCAGACTGAGCTGGTACAAGCTCCTGGAGGCAGCTAGAAAATGTGTAAAGCAGAGAATGCTTAGAACAAGGTGTGGGTGATGGGTACCATTGCCTTCGCTCTGTCCCCTGGAGCTACAGCAATGAGGGGTGCAGATATGAGATCAATAATGTCATGCATTTCTTTTGCATTATATGGTCTTCGGCCACATGAAAAGCTCCAATGGGCAGCGCTGTTATTCCCGTTTTGCAGATACGGTCTAAGGAAAATGTGCCCAGGAAAAGGTTGTACCTCACTGACCCAGCAAGTTGCCCATCTTTCCCTTCCAGGAGGGAAGCGGTTTCTTGCTTTCTCTTGCCTTTCAAGTCAAGGATTTATATGTCTGTGTTTGGCAGCACTGAAGGGTCAGCAATTATGTTAATTAGGCATTTTGATTAAAACCCAGCTTTTTGTTAGAAAATAAACTTCCTTGTTGAAAAATACTAAATCTAGAGCAAATCAAGAGAGGAGCTGCATTTCCTGCTGGTTCATACGCTCTGCGCCTGGGCTAATTTAAGATCACTTCAGTTGTCGTGATGTATTTATTCCCCAAAACTATGTATTTTTTATTATTATTCACTAGCATCTCTTTGTTAAACATTTAAATATTCCCACACCCAGACCTTATTATTTCAGACATTTATAATGTACCCACCCATCAGTGATTTAATTTTGGCAGACATAAAACCAAACCAACTATTCCTTACAACTGCCAACAAAACTATTGTGATCCATTCATCTTTTTAAAAATCATCATTCAAATAGAAACCTATGAAGCAAATATGCCGTGATTGCTGATGCGAAGGGAAAACAGTTGATCATTTGCTTGTCTGATGTAAAATAATTGCTAAAGGCAAGGAAAGAAGCTTCAGCCTAGTTTTTGCTCCCAGTCTTTCCAGACAACTTCTGTGTTTCCAGGCTATTCACCCTCAAAATCTAAAAGACAGATTGAATAGAGGGGTATTTTTTTTTCACTGTATCATGAAGACTCCCAGACTTGGTTCTGGCAGGCTGCGAGAAGGAATGCATTTCAGAGCAGAGCATTTCCCACCATGAATGTCTCAGCCCCTCACAGTCAGCAGGACATAAATGAGAAGCAATCCTTCTGGTATGAGCTGGCCTGACCCTCTGCATTTCGCTGGAGGGCTCATAGGGCTACTACTGGGTGTGATTGCTGTGTGCTCCCTTGGACAGTCCAGTTTTGAAGGCATTCTGCATTAACTGAGCCTGGCAGGAGATTGGCTCCTCCATAAAGTTCTGATTCATGCTCCTTGCAAGCCAAAGTTGGGTTGGCTTAGTTCATCCCTGCTTGAAAAATGCATTGGCAGAGGCTGCACAAGTCATGCATGTTCCAGATCCTGGACAAGTCAGGGAGAAGCAGAGGAGGGGAGATCCAGCCCTGGTTTTAAAATCATGATAAGCATGTGGCCATTTCAACATGTCCTGTTCTCAGGTAGCTTGGTAGCATCCAGCCTCTGGTTCCAGCAGTGCTGTGGTCCCAGCGAAAGCTCACGGCTGAAGCTAGCCATGGTGCAGCAAAGGGCTGCATGACTCTCCAGAGTGCTTTTCCCTTTTTCTCATTGCTTGCAAAGAGGGTGTGTTGGTATTTGGTTGTGAGGGGAGTTTGGCTTCTGGGTTGCCTCATGGTGACCTCTTTGATAGGTGAAGGGATTGCATGGACAGACACATCAGTTGCTTTTCCTGGGTTTGGAAGATGAGACTTTCCTGTGGTATGGGAGACGTCAGGAGGAACTTGAGGGAACTTCACTACCACACCCCCCCCACACCCCCCTTGAAACACGATTTTCCAGGTGATTGTATTGCAAAGCAGTGCCAGTACCTGGTGCTTTGTGCGGGTCTGAAATCCTACCAGTACTGGTCCTTTTGATCACGGAGTCTCTATGTGTATCTGTTTCACTGTCTGTTAATGGCTTTTGTCTTGTTAAATGCCAGAGAAGCTGCTCTCTGTGAAAGCAGCTTGAAGCATTTAGGATTCATTAGACTTCAAAGGAAAGAGGCCTGTACCACAAGCCAGAGGGGAGGAAATGGAGTGGCAGGAGGATCCTGTTAATGCAGAACACAAATAAACCCCAGACAGGAAGGAAAATCCTATAGGTCTGACTCAGAGCTGCAGTCCCGACACTGTGGCTTCCAGGACCGGTTCGACCCAGGAGTTGCAGAGAGGAACCCTCTGGCTTGGCTCCTGCCCACACTAGACCCAGATACCCTGAGCAAGCCTGGAGCCTGCAACAAGGGTCTCACCTGCACCCGCAGCCGCAGGGACGTCGGCTTCTCTGGTGAGTGCTGGCATTTGCCAGCAGCCTTGTACACCCAGGACTTGTGTGCCAGCAGACTGTGAGGTATCAGGCACGTGCTTTGATAGGGGCTGCTCCTCCCTCATTGCCACTCTGGTGAGAGAAGATGGGGATGCAGTTTGCTGGTAACTGTTTCCTCTTCTCTCTCCTTGAACATGCTTGCACTTTAAATGTGCTTTATTCTGATAAGGTATTTAATCTGTGGGAGAGAACAGGTTTGTCTTTTTTTTAGGTATGGTGCTTTTGGCAAGAAGAAGATGTGCAGGGAATAGGTCCTGACAGAACGATTCAAAAAAGAGCGTTCCTGGGCGTTGTGCTGACCTGCTCTTCTCTTTCCATCTCTCCTGTTTTAGGGAAGATCCTCTTCCGCCGGAGTCACATTCGCGATGTTGCAGTCAAGCGCCTGATACCTATTGATGAATACTGCAAGGTAAGGGGAGGTTTCTAGCATCAACCAAAGATTAACTCATCTTGATCAGGCTCGATCCTGTTTGACTGATCGTATATAATGATGTGCCAGTGCTGGAAGAATGAGGAGTGTGGGCTATCCTCTACTATCAAACACTTTCTGTGATGAAAGCCCACACACTGATTCACTTTTCACTCCATGTGATTACTGCTGAGGGCTTGGAGGGCTGTGCTTGCAGGGTGGCCCAGCTCCACACCAGCTTGCACCCTGCTGCAGTGCTTTCCCTTTCTCTTCTACTTTCTCAAGCTGCAAACCAGAACCAGCTTTCCAGATGGGCTGGAAAGGACCTGGCTGCCTGGCAGTGTCCTGTCTGGTAGGTGGTTTGGAGTGAAATGGTTGTGTTCAGGACTAGGCTTGAAGGACTCAGTTCCTTGGGAAGCCTTTCCTTTCCCATCTGTTTGGAACAAACCTGCTGTTTTATGTAGAAGACTGCACTTTCTTGGTGGCATGGTCCCAAACTGGGACATAAACTCCTGCTACTGTTACGTAAAACAGTTATTTGCACAGGGGTAAGATGACTTGTACCTGCAGAAAATTATTGGAAGCCAACAGAGATAAGGCTGAGATGATTTGCCCCATACTCTTGAAGAATATAAGACTGTACTTAAGTATAAGGCAAATTATGATGTTAGTGCATTTTTTGGGGGTAGGAGGGAACCAAAATACTAAAGTCCACAAAAAATTATTTTAACACAAATAAAGTATGCCACATCTCATCATTTCAAAGAAGTGCACTAGTACTTGCAGCAGCCATGAAATGGTCTGGAGGTAGGACCAGTACCTCCCAAATCCAGTTTGAATGCTGTTGAAAACATATGCAAAGACCGCAAAACCCAAGGGAGAAGATGAGGAAATGGTGAAACATCCATCACATTCCTTAGGTGCAGGAGGTGTAGCAGTAACTATGGCCTAGGACTTTGCATGGTGGGAGAGACTGTGGGTTTTGAGACTCAGCCAGTCCTGGCTGGAATAACAAGTACGAGGATAAAGGTGAATTAGTAAATGCATCTTGACAGCTCTGCAGTTGGGCCGCTGGTGAAAACCACTGCAGGCCAGGATAGCAGATGAGAGCAGAGTGGTAGAGATGTAGTGCAAGGTGTGCTTGGACCTGTGTGTTCCATACAGCGTGGGGGAAGCCAATGGTGCAAGTAACCACTTGGCTCCAGCTGGGCATGGTAGGCCCCTTGTTGTCTGAGTGACTAAAATGTGCCAGCTACATACAGACACACACAACCATAAATTTAATTTTGGGAAAGAAAAAGTCCCTAAGTGGTAAGATGCTGCAGCTGTCTCTTTCAGGATGATGCCATTAATGGCATAAAATATAATGAATCCATTTGACTTAACAACTGGAACATAATGGCTGATGTTATATGACCCACTTAGAGACCCGCTCTTTCCTCCTCCCGTTAATGCATTACCAAGTAATAACATGCACACTTTGCCTGGCCTTCCAGTTGCTGCTACTTAACTGTAAAGCTGCTGAGCTGAAGGTAGGTGTGGGACCGAAGGCTGCAGAGATGTGGAATGAACAAGGAGTCAGCGGGAGCAGAGGGATGTTCCTCCTGGGCACATCGTGCTGGAGATCACAGCCGCAGGGTCCCAGCACACTCTTACTGCCGTGTTTATTGTTGGAGGTGGACATTGCACGTGCTTGGAGGGTGGTGGTGCAGAACAGAAATGCAAATTATCTCCTCCAGCTTGGCCCTGCTGAGTGAGAATTGAGGGTTAAGTGAATATGTTGTGAACAAGTTCCCACAGAAGACCGTGTAAGAAACTTTTTGCTTTCTTGCCATCTCCTGCGAGAGAAGTAGGGTGTCTTTATTCTTTGGGAGAGCCCTGGAAAGAAGGTAGGTGAGATTTAGGGTAGAAGTAGGTGAGAGGAGCAAGGGACGGAACCACTGCTTTCACAAGGCAGTGCTCTGGCTGAAGGGCTCTGTTCCAGGTCCTGCCATACTGAAAAATGTGGCAATTTAAGGTAAGGTGCAGGAAAAGCAGCAAAAGAACCAGAACAACTGGTAAGAGCAACCAGTCAGCAAATGAGACTTGAAACAACCATAGGAATGACAAGGAAGGGGAGTGAAGGCCTGAAATTTCTTCCCATTTCTCCAGTTTATGCTTTGTGTTCTACATCTGTTGGCCTTTCCACTGGTGTGGGAACTGCCTTCCTCCTGTCTAAGGGATTTTGAGAATGTGTTAGCTGGAGGGTTGATGGAAAGACTTGCAATGCTTGTGATGCTCTGCCCCAATGAGACTGGGTGGACCACTAAAAAACTGCTGCTAGAGAATAATCCTTTCTCGCTCCCTGGAAAATGGATTTCAATGCAATAAGGCTTGTCTGCCTTTGGTAAATGACCTTTCTCCTCAGGACTGCAGGCAGCAGGGTGGGTAAGGTGACTTGCTGTGGCTCCAACGCCATGGGCTGAAGCCATGTTCTGAAGGCCCTCCCCAGTTCACTCCTCTAGGTGGCAGAGCCAGAGGTGGGACAGACATCACACTATTTGTGATTTGGTGGCCATAGTTGCTGTAGACCATGGCCAACTAGAATGCAGGGTGGCCTGCTTGACTTGGCCACCACTGTGCCAGCTGAGTCAGCTCTAGGTGGCCTTCCTTCAAGATGTCCTCAGAAATGAGCTGTGGGTCTTGCCTTTCGTCCTTCCAGCATAGGGTGTTTTCTGTGATCATCCCCTGCTATTGGAAGACACGGAGCCTTCTCCAGGCCACAAAAAATCAGCGTGATTTTGGCATGGGGGAAATTGTGTAGATCATGGGATGCCTGGAACTGGGGAGTGGTACCCACATGGGAATGGCATCCATGCAAAACTTCATCTTTGAATAGCCCTTCCCTGGACCCAAAAGCCATGGAGTGAAGTAGTTTTCTCTCTCCTGTCTTTCACATGATTTTGATTGCAGCTGGCCCATGATTAGTGGTCTGACTGCCTGCTGCGCTGGCAGTGAATGACTGTGTGCTGAATGGCTGGAAGGGGTTTTGGGGGCCAGCAATTAGGTCAATATGGAGCCACATCTGATCTCTGTGGTAATCCCAGGGCTTTGCAAATGTGGCTTTGTCTCCAATACAGAAATGAGTGGAGGTTCGGTTTGCCCACACTGCTCTCACAAGACTGCTGTGACAGCAAGTGGAGGGGAGGGGGAATGATATAGAAAATTGGTTAAATATCTGCTCCAGGTCGGGCTGCAGCACTGCTCCCTGATTTCAAATGATCCCTTTTTTCAATTGCATGGGTTTTTTTTTTTACTTTTTGCAGTCGCCATCACCTGTGACTCCGTTCCCTCCCACGAGCAGAGAGCAGGGCAGGGCTCTCTGCCAGGCAGCTGCCCATCCTGCCTTCCCTGCCCAGCCCTCACTGCAGCCCACGTTGGAAAGGACCTACAGGAGCTCTGGCTCAAGGCAAATATTGCTGTCCCAGACTCTGCCCCCCAGCTCCCACAGACATGCACACTCTCACCCTGCAAGTCCCAACGTTGAAGCCTATCTTTTTGCAACAGGCTTCCTCAAAGGGAAAGGAGAAAAGCAGAGGCAGCTTATAGTTCCTGCCATTCAACAGCATGCATAGCAGCCTTCCAGCCCTTGCCCTGGCGAGCTGGTGTCCACACTTTTGCTTTCTGTTGCTTCTCTCCTTGCCTCTTCCCAAGCTGCCATTGCCTAGTGGAGCATTTTTGGGATGTGCCGGTCAAGGGCTGATGGCACTGAGAGTCTGCCACGTATAAATTGCCCAGCCTTTCCCAAGGATGATGGCTCCATGCTCACAGCACAGCTGGGAAACTGAGCCCTGCTGTGGCTGGGAGGCTGGATGCTGGGTTGAATGTCCCTGTGGCTCTTACCCTGCGAGGGCACATCTGTCCAAAAGGCTGGAGCTGGGCTAAGCAGGGCCCAGGCAGGCTCTGCTTATTCTCCTTTAGTCTTCAGTTGCTGCTGGGGTGGTGTGGTGGATGTAACTGGGGGCTCTCTGGTATGGCTCCACTGTGGTGTGTGCTTGCGGTAGCTCTCTCCAGCTTGGCTCTGCTCTCCTGTGTGCCAGGAACCACGTGGGTGCTGAGCTCGGTGCTGTGACCCAGTCCCCCATGCTCTGAGGGCCTGTCCTCACTCGGCTCCTTGCTCAGTCTTGATGCTTCCCATCACTGGTGTTTCTATTTTGTCTGCAGGCTCTGATTCAGCTGCCTCCCTACATCTCCCAGTGCGAGGAAGTTCTCCAGTTCTTTGAGACACGACCTGATGACTTGACACCCCCCAAAGAGTAAGTTGGTTGGGAGGCTGCTGCCACTGGGGTGGTGATGGAACACAAACGGCCTTGAACTTGGGGGTATCCATAAGAATCTGGCATTCATTAACAGTACCCCCACAAGTCACAGATCTGGGATTTGGAGGTTTTCTTGGAGAGGGAATAGGGGCTGTGCAGCTTGAGGTGGACACCTCTGCCCACTCAGCTGACTCCTGGCATAACCTTCTCCAGCGGGGAAGTGGAAACACTTCTCTGGGACCCCATGAAGTATTGGTCACCTCCCAAGCCACCTTCTGCTCACAAATGCTGGTTTCAGAAACATGGTCAGTCTGAAAAGCCTCATTTCACATGGTTAGTAATGACCTCTGCCTTGTTTGAAAAGCTCCTTCGCTTAGCCATGTCCATAAGGCCCATCCGTAACAATGCTCCGGAGTCTTTCCATGCAAAACAAGGAATGTTTGCAAGGAATCTCGCGTGCCTTACGCAACTCTGTGTGGTTATAAGTCTTGTGACTGTGAGCTACTTTGGCCAGGAGCCACCCATCTCTTACTAATCACCAGCAGCATAAATCTGAGCAGTCGCCTCCATCTCCTGCTATGCTGCTCTCTCTTCTTATGCTGCATGTGACTCGATGTGCGGCTCTACCAAAGGTTGAGCAATGGAGGAGGCTTGATTAATTGTGAGAGGAAAGGCAGTAAATTGATTTGACATCATTCTGTATTGGAAGGGTGTGGAGGTAGATAAAGGGATTTTGTTTTTCTCCTCTGAGCAACAACACTGCCTTTCAGGTCTCTACGTTTCTGGGGACTATATATTCTTCCTGGGTTTTCAATTTTTTTCATTCCCTCTCTTAATTTCCCCTTCCCTCATTCCTGC